ATACATTTTGTCCAATCAGTAAGTTATATGCAAGAATTAGAAAATTATATTAAGTTTTTATTGTTTGTTTTAGATTCCTCAAATAGGTTTTATTCAAATAATAAGCTTCATTTAAGAATAAAAAGGTTATATAGGAATATCGTTTTTTTCTCTTTTAGGTTCTTGGAATGAATTTTATTCAAAGGGTGAGTTACATTAAAGAATCAAAAACCTAATATTAATTTTTCCTTTATTTTAGATTCCTCAAATGGATCTCAGCGAATGGCTAAGTTACATATCAGTATTCGAGAAATAACGATGTGTCATTTTGATGTTTTTATGATAGACGACATCGGTTCGACATCTGTGTGACTGTCGATATTTTTCAGATCCTTCATTGCATTCCCAGGTTGGTGAGCTTTGAAACTTTTTTGCAGTTTCTGATATTGCTTTGTGAGAAAGTACTGTAACTATTTGTTTCGGTTTAGAAGACTTTGAACACCAATATTCGGAAACTCTGAAAGGTTTTCAGACAGTGCCAAAATCGGAATGGCTCTAAAGTTTTCCCGGAACTACACTTTTTTAGGAAATATACAAATAAGGATATAATTGTAAGGGTATAGATATAAGGATATAGTAATAAGGGTATGGTTTAAGGGTATAAATATAAGATTCGGTAATAAGGGTATAGTTTAAGGGTAAAGCTGTAAGCGTATAGATATAAGGTATAGATAAGGCTATGGATATAAGAATATCGACCTATGGATACAGAAATATGGAAAATCCCAACGGTAAACCATTTAAATCATGGAACACCTTATACGTAGGACAGAACCTTTTTTGAAGAAAAATCACATATGGTTTCGTTATTTCTTTACTTAACCTTTTTTCAATGAGAACCTTTTCCGAGGGTTCTGCGTTTTACCCGATACCAGAACCCCTAAAATGTTTCTGTAAAACTCCTTTTTTCTTTCAGAGTAGTTGTTGAAGTGCTCTAATCGTTCCGAACATATTCTACGAAACTAGCCAAGGTTTTGAAAAAGATATTCTGAACATTTATATTATTTACGAAAGTGTAAATTGTTTCGTGTAATGCATGCTGAACCTTTGGATGCTTCACGAAACTTTACATAGATTCATAAACGATGGAAAGGTTCAGTGTTTCTTTGACGGAACCGGACCTAGTTTCGTAGAATGTGTCCAGAACCTTTAACGGATTTACGCAGCCACGAATGGTTTTGAAGAAATTATGCGAAACTTTTAAATGCTGTACAGAACTCCCAATAGTTTCCTATGACGAACACAAAACTACGAAAAGTTCGGCTCACGGTCAACAAAATTTCTAGATGGTTTCGTAATAAAATTTCAAAACCCTTTCGAACTCTGGGAACTAAAAATCGTTTCGTAAAATAGTACCAAACCTTCAAAATTTGGTAGAACACCTTTGGGTGTGGGTGTGGGTCGCTCTTCTGTTAACAATAACCTTAAACCCACACGAGGGTGTGGGTGTGAATGTGGGTCGCTCTTCTGTTAACAGTAACCTTAAACCCACATGAGGGCGTGGGTCGCTCTTCTGTTAACAATAACCTTAAACCCACATGAGGGTGTGGGTGTGTGCCGCTCTTCTGTTAACAATAACCTTAAACCCACATCTACACACATCCTCAAGTATAGCCTATACATAATATTTGGTCTTATGGTACCATTTCTTCTCAACACCTATTGCCTTTGTCTCTCATTCTTCTTTGTTCTCTCAAATGGTTCAGTATTTAAGCGTGTGCTTTATATGTAGTCGGTGCGATTTGTGATTTGAAGAGTTAAATAAAATGTAATACCATCAGCATGGGCATCTCTTCTATCTAAAATCGTCACAATATTCTTTTAAATAATGATCAAGGTAGTCATAGTCAATGTTTCAGGGCTAGTTGTTGCTTGTAAATTTAACTGTGTGGTACATTGTTCTAATAGGTGTTGTATATGAGTCAAATAGTCTGGTACGATTTTTTGACATAACTGAGGTTCGTCGGTTTTTGCTATCTTAAAGAAATGATCCTTTGAATAAAAAAATCATGATAATAGTTATTCGAAATCAAGTGAAAGATGTACACTTAATGGCCATTGACGTTGTTCAGAGTCAAGATCAAAATAAAATTGCCAAAGCGACTGATGTATATTTAAACAATATTGTAAATCTAATAGTTATCATCGTGAGTAAATAAATTTATGTTCCGATTTGAGTATAAGTGGATGATGGGCTGTTGACGTAGTGCTTGAATCAAGAGTTTCAGTGATCGCTTCAAGTAGAGTGCTTCTCAATACATCTTGTCGTGGTCGAGTATGGATGTCTGGATCACGTTTTGTTTCTTCCTTACTTTATTTGTTACTGGTTGTGAAATTGAAAATTGGCTCAATGATGATCGAACGGATTCTAGTTCTCGATTGTTGACAATTTTAGAATCTTGTTAATGTTCTGCTTCAATGTCTAGCATATATATGAACTGTATTATATCATCATCACACTCATACCCTCACATATAGCATACGGAACCTATTATGATGTGAGATGGAAACAAAAGGCTTCATACTAAATCTGTGAAACCTTATAATAGGTTACGAAATTATGAGCTATTTCGTGTGGAATATGTAGAGCCTTGTGGTTTCTTAGGAAAATATCGACTATTTTGTATCAAATATATGGAAGCTTTACATGCCATTGCTAAAATAAAATAAATCTACAATAGGAACTGATTTTATTTATTAAAAGCAATAGAGTTCTAGTATATAAGGAATCATTTGTTTTACAGAATAGATATCAGATCAAAACGACCGTGCTTTCTAACAGTGTATAATTATTATGATGCATATTATGTGTATAGAAAATGTCTCTTGAATTTATATTGATCTGATATATTTCGAATGATAACATGGAAATAGCTGCATGTTGTTTACATAGTTTACATTTTGGTTAAAATTTCTCTTCGAGGGTACTTATGAATAAAGAAACTTTCAAGAGTACAATCGGTGTTTGCGATTGTTCGAACTTCAACATGCTCAACTGGTAATTCAAGAAATTTATACTCTATTTTGTGAATAAAATGGAACATGGTATACCATTGAAAAGCTTTTCACCACAGTCCATTTAGGGCTAAAATGCGGAACTCACTTATTATGGATCACTTAGATAGATATCGACTCAATATAGGATTGTTTTAAAATAGAATAAGTTTTATAATGTTTTAAGGGTGAGATGAAAAATAATAATACGACTAACAAATATAATCTAAATAGTTAAAATAAAATTGAAATTGTAAATGTTAACTTTCAATAATTCAAGCGCCATGTTATTAGTTTTTTTCTTTATCTTTTATTATAATGATATTAATAAGCAGCTTGTTCGATAGATATATAAAATTAGAATATGGATTTAGATACTCCACTCTAATTTATTGAATTTGCTGATTAATTAATCATGCTTCGATGACATATGCAAATAATTAGTTTTTAAATATTTTACGTCTGCATAGAACAAATGAATAATAAAAACTGTAAACAATTTATAGTTCGCGTTATGTTTTAAAATACTTTAATTATAATTACGATATGTATATATATGCTGGAGGGAAAATTAAAATATTAATCTGCCCTAGAGGAAATTTTTATATATTTTGTATTTTTTATTCATTTTTGTTATGTTCTTTTTATAACTTTGATATGTGTTGGTACAATTTCACTCAACTCTGATTTTACTTTCAATCTCCAATCAAAATCACACATTCTCTTTTTCCAATTCACTTATCTCTAATGTTGTACCTAACTAAACTGTGCAATATGAAAAGACAAAAAATAGATTATAAAGACATAATCTATTCACATCCCTTTTAGCTTTTTCAGATGAGAAAAAGAAATAGAGAGAAGAAAGAAAACGAACAAGAGTTGTTCGACCAAAACAAAAGAACAAAAGTATAGACGAAAAACAAAGAATAAACTAAAGAACATCTAACAGAACGAAAGAAAATATAAAAACAAAACAAAACAAAACACAACACAACATGTCTTATGGCATATCATTTATGCCATAACAATCTTGAGTTCTGGACGGGAATGTTTGTGCGAACGTCCATCAACTGTGCGAGTGAGGTTTTGATTGGTACGGGCCCACATCCTTCCATACTCACACCCACACCCTCATGATTTTCATGACACGGCTAGTGACCAGATTGTGCCATTAAAAATTAGTTCGAATTTCAAGTCCCGTTTAAATGAACTTCTTCGTTGCGAAGACGCAAAGAGTTATTAACAAACAATCGAAAGATGAGATTGACACATATCGACTTGCATACATGTTTTTATACTAAGTCAATAGAAAGTTTTTTTCGCACCTCAGTAAAGTGTGACTCGTAAATGAAAACAGTATCGTATTACCATATGAAAAACATAAATAAATTAGGAATCGAGATTTTGACAAAACATTTAAAAAATAAAGAAGGCTGCTAGTTAGATCACGATTTTGTATAATTAAATATATGCAATACTTTAAACATTACATGGCCTATGTAACGTAACAAATAAAACGGATTTTCCCGAAGAAATCGAGGTTGATATGAGAAATATGAGCGGCAGTATACACCCAAGAGCTTTGACAGTATTTTTGCAACTAGTATAGGGGTAATCTTGCTATCAGCAGAATTACACAACTTTTGCTGGTCTCTTTTTTATTTATACAGAGTTGTCATCTGATAAGGAATATTACACTGTCAATGCCTGTATATTTTTAACTTCTAACAAATGAATTGCTTTTGTTTAGAGAAAATCATTTTGTCACAAAATAAAATTTCCCATTATACCAAAAAAGAAGTTAATTCTGACATTTATTGTACACATCTTCGTTTGATGCTTGAAACGCTACACCTTTAAATACTTCAACGTCTCGGTTCATTTTTTCTTTGATTATTTATTTTTCGAGGTCAAATAGAAAATCCAGATTGTGTTACAGAAAAAAAAGAGGAGTTAAGTCAATGAGTTCACCAATGGCGTTGAATATATGCATTTAGTACGGCTTTTGTATAGCTGGACGAAAATGTTTCGCCAACAATAGTAGCATACGAAGCTGGATCGACCGCATAACCATACGCCATTTTTGCCAATTCAAGTTTATCATCATCGGTAGAAACAGATTTCAGCAATTGTGCTACCTGCGATGCCGATACTTGTCCAGCAGCACCTATAGCTACTTGAATTGTCTCCATCTGATAAATAGGACAATTATTTTTCTTCACCGTACGGACCAAATAGTCGAACATGGATGAATTCATGGCGATTCAATTTCTTACTAATCCAAATCTATTATGTGAAATATTTTTCTTCACCTTTTGTAGTTGATGCTTTTGACGAACACAATATTTGCATAAAGTCAACATCAAAACTTTTGATTAAGAGGTTTTACCGACAAATATTTTTATGCATTTGTAAAGAATTGAAAGAATGGTAGAGAGAGAAAGTGGTAGACTGATATGTTTGCATTAATCAGTGAATGACATTCGAGTAGATTTTCTTTCACAAGTGTTAGTATGCAATAAGAATATTGCTAAAACTCAGCATACGAATTTCTTACAAAACAAAACTGATTTGAATGGAGACGATCTCTTTAGCAATGGAAATGTGGTATTAAAACATAGCTATAGCAAAATAAGAAGCTAAGATCAAAGTAGTGAATTAATACTTGAAATAAAATGATTATAGTCAATTGGCGATTATTTGAGCGAAAATGTGCATTTTTCGCATCGTTAATGTGTAGATCAACTTGATTATGAATACTATGAACATTGCGAGAATCATCAAAATGTCAACAATACTCATTAATCCTCGAACCTGGTTTAAAGTAAATAATTAGGGTGTGGGTGTGGGTCTTCTCTTGATTTACATCCACACTCACACATATCATTAAAGCCAACTGATGGCTCATTTAGCTGGGATGAAATCTAGATATTGACAACTCTGTCACCCACTCCCACATCCTCATCTCTTACAATCGTCATCAATATGTTTATTCAGACTTTGTATTTTGCACTATTTGCTTTTATTCACAAAATATATTTATCAAATACTTAGTGGAATCACCTGATTTTATTGTTTAATAAATATTATAGTCGACAAAGCCTAGATAAGGCATCAATTCCGGTGGGACATGTAGTTTGAGTTTAATTTGATAATGTGAATCCGAATTTTCAATCAATTTGTGATCTTTTGTTGTCACTTCTGTTTCTTTATCATCAATAATTCGAAAGACATGAGAGACAAAGTTCATCAGCCGATCGTTGTTAATAGAAATCGTGAACGCTTGATGTTGATGTGTTCCGATGATCAACGTTAGATTATTCGCTGGATAAGCCCAACGTAAATTGACTGAAGTACACGATTTCAGAAAATCAAGATTAGTCAAATCGACACTAGCCGATGGGCAACTGTATGGAAAAGAGATAGTAGCTACACAATCGCTGTCACGATATGCTTGCATGTCGCACTGTCTATCTTGCGCAGAAGCTGCTCGAGCAACTGTAATCACCAGCAAGACAATAAATGACACATTGGATGCCATGATGATCGAGAGAAAGTAAAATATTGATAACAATACAGAATATGATTGACTTTTATAGTAAAAACGATGATGATAAAGCATGCAAACAGGTGTGAGAGAATCTAAGAAACAGAATCGGGTTACTGAGTAGTGCAACGGTGCATATTTTTTACTCTAACGTCATTATCCAGTATGTGGCAACGGCAAAGAGCGAAAAAAAGGTTGTATCAGTGAATGTGATTTTGTTCGTAAAGCGATATTTCATCCTCTTAACAATAGTACTACTGACGAAGAAGCATTTCCACATATTGCACGGCTTGTAAAATTGACCTTTTCTAGTTTTGGGATGTGGGTGGCGCTGTGCCCAGTATATAGAACCGACAATTAAAAGCATGCCCACTCACCCATCCCACGTCCCACAATCACTCACATCCTTGTATATTTTTCTTGCAGAAATCAAGACTTTGTAACTCAAACATTCAGCTAATAAGCAATAAGAAAATTTTCATTCTTTTAGTACTTTACAGGACATTGACTGCTTTACACAATGTTAAAGAATCATCGTAATTCTATGCTTCATTTCTTCAGGCGAATGATTTTTCTAAATCGATCAAAAATGACCCACGACGGAAGGAGCAAGGTAAAGGGTTAAGAATTAGAACAAAGCAACTATGATATTGTTTATTGGCATATATGATGGTGCCAACTATTTATTGCCATATAATCTGATTCAATACAATAGATCTGAACTAGATGTCGTATTTAAATTAAAAAATAATAATTGAACCCCACTCTTGTATTCTATGCTTAAAAGCTGTACAAATTACATGCTCGTATAGTGATGTTATGATAACGTTTTTGTTGTTACCTCTGACACATCATTTTGAATAAGTTCTTGTAGGGAATTGAAAGAGATATTAACAAAACATTAAAGGCGTCATTTATTCTGACCCTCTCGTTACTTCAGAAAGTTTCCAAAGTCTTTCTCATTACTTTTTCCAGACTTAAAATTACTTGATTTTACTTGATTAAAAATAAAAGTAATTATAAATTGTTATCCCTATTGCTGTTACATGCGATGATATTGTTTGCTATTTGAAATAATTTCAACGAAAAACGTTGTATTAAACTTAATACTTTTGAATTTCCTAGTTTATATTAATTCGTACAGGAGAGGACGTGTTGATTTGTGTTTGTTTTTCTTCACTTATACAATCAATAAATCTCCTAAAAAATGCGGTGGATAGTGCACTCTATGCATAGTTGATGACAATCACCCATTAAGTGGCGACTTCCTTCTGAATGGCTCAAGCAGCAAACAGAACAGCGCTAACACTTTATATGAGTAGCTTGCAGAGGGTGAGTGGGTGAGTGAGTGAATGAATGAATGAATGAATGAGAGATTTTTTTTCTTTCCTTTACCATACCTCAATGTACTTTGAAGAATATTGTATGTTGATGGCAGGGCCTCTATTCATAGTAATATAATTGAATAATTCGAAGGCCATTAAAAGTAAATGTGACGCGTTTATGTCGTGTACATTAACTCAATCGAATTCAGAATAGTATACGTAGGTGAATATGAATTCTCGACGGTATCGTCTCGCTACTCCGTCTGTCAGCAACATACCTGGTGGATCTAACGTTATGGTGACGTATTGCCCGAGTTTATCTAAAACATCTTCAATTCAATGTCGATCACCACTGACAACTGACGACGTTACAAAAAATAGAAAAAAATTATTGCCTAATGCAAAATTACTTAAAAGAACATTTTCGTCTGTTCTACCTCCTCGATGGTGGCTTGTTCTACCCTGCTTAGTTTTTATGACACTAGCAACTTCATCTACTTCTTTACTGAAGAATGATTTACTAGTGCATCGGTAAGAAGTCCTCTATGGCCTTCCAACATCACCAAAAGACGAACAGAGCGCTTGTCGCCTTTCATCAGCGACTACTCCAACTAATTACTATTGGCTTGATTCACAATACAATCCACAACTACCACAATCATCATATCAATCGCCACCACAACAGAATAGTGATTATAATCTTGTGCAGAGTGCCGTTGCTCAATTTAACACAAAAAAATCACTGGTAACATTCATTCCCTCATTGATCTCATTTGTTTTATTGGGAGCGAGTTGTGATACCATGGGGAGTCGACCAATGCTACTGTTACCGTTTCTTGGCAAAATAGTTGAATCTACACTGATGTTAGTGGTTGTAACTCGTAATTTATCCGACGCATGGATTCTAGCTGCTCATGGCCGGGAAGCCATGTTTGGTTCTGCTGGTTTGATAATGTTGAGTGGATTTGCTTACATCACTGACTGTTCACCTGAAGAAAAAAGAACACGAGCTTTCTTACTTGCAGAATTAGTTCTTATTGTTGCACGGATTGGACCTACGCTTGCTCTTGGTCTATGGCTGAATAAATATTCATATTCGTACGTTGTGCCCATAAGTATCTCTCTGGGATTAAGTGTCATTGGCCAATTTTATGCACTATTCATCCAACCTGAGTCTGTGCAAAGCGTGTAAGTGCGACCATAAATGATTTTTCTTGTCTTTGAAGAGATCCAACGCAAACAAAATGTAACCCGTATCAAATTATAGAAGATACAACGGTAAACTTCATGAGGATCTATAATGAAAGAAGTACTATATTAATATAGTGCTTGTTTTTCCATGCTAAGAAAAGAGATTATTCATATTATATTCCAACTATTTATGCATATTACAGCTTATCAAGTTATTTATATGCTGAACAGTTGTCAGTATGTAGAATGTTTCTTCTCCGAAATGCTGAATTTTCAAAATATTCTATTTCATACAAAGCCAACCGAAAAAAATATATTTCAGAGTACCATTTTGAAAATACATTAAAAGTTTGTCTTTTTTTTTGACAAACAAGTCTGGTCGACAAATACGGATTGGTTATGACAGAAACACATTAAAATCGCTGGAAATCGTTGGGAAAAGTCAAAAAATAATTCCGACTGGAATACTACTTCCATTTTCTGGCTGATTCCAGCGAAATCCGTCCTGAAGAATCATCGGCTTGTGAAAGAGTGGCATTGTACAGAGAAAACCAGTGCGCACCCCTCTTGTATGTAAGCTACTGTAAATTTTTGGTGCTGGCTTGTACATTATTTTCATGAAGGATGTTTTCTTGTTTGCTAGACTCTCATGAAGCATATCACCTTTAACATACGATACTGAGAGCAACAAGATGCAAAAATAAAAAGAACTATCAGTCCGCATTAACTCGAGGTACTCGATAGTATATTAAAAGTTAGAAGCAAATATCATGAGATCAACTTAGTTATTAGACATTAGTGTGTTATATTGGATACATGTACCCTAAATAGAATCCGAGACTATCCCGATTGATTAATACTGATAACAAGTAGTTTCTTTCTCCGTAATTTAGACGCAATCTTAATATTTTCCGTCAATTATTGCTTATTCGCCTCAGACCCATAATACGTGCCTTCAAAGTATTCTTAATCAAGCGACCTGGCAATAACCAACAGACTCTAATTCTTATTACAATAATTCATATTTTACTTCTATTAAGTTCAGTTGGTTACTCATCGGTACTTACTCTCTACCTTTATGGTCGTCCGTTTTACATGAGCGCATTTCAAGTAGCTCTTCTCAGCACAGCAATTTCCGTGACCATCGCTGTCCTTACCTTGACCGCGACACTCAGCAAACGGCGATTAGATAGTTCGTATCTATTACCAGTGATTGGTGTTGTCATGTCGATAGTTCATCACGTCATATTTGCCGTAGCCAAAACGGTTTGGCTGCTTTATTTAGGTTTGAAACGTTTTAATAGATATAGATGTTTTACTTTTACAGTGTTTTATTCTTTGTAAATTGTTTAGGTGCTTGCATCGGAAGTTTGTCATTTATATCAATGCCTACACTGCGAACGAAATTGACCAAGGCCATTGAACCTAATGAGTACGCCATTGTGTTTATTGCTGCGGGCATTGTCGATACTATCGGTCGTGAAGGAGTAAGCGCTGGAGCTAATGCAATCTACAAGGCATCATTAAACTTTTTTCCTGGTCTCGTTTTTCTTGTGTTCTCAATATTTGCCCTCGTCACCATCTTCATCATGAGGTGTAGCTGTCACTAAATTTTCAATTATATTTTTGCCACACTTTTCGTTATTTTTCAGTTATTTGGCCTGGTCTGAACGGAAGAAATACATGGATAAACATGTCAAATCGTCTACCAAGACGACAAATGAAGCAAACAGACGACTGATGAGCAACACGAAAACAATTTCTGTCTAACCAAACTAGATGATTCACCATACATCATACTTTTCTGTTCTCTAAACTATAATTTTGAAGTGATTGAATATCGTAGAAAGTACAGAATTTTGCTAAAGGAGGTTATTAGGTTGTAACACATTGAAAATAAAGTATTCAGATTTGTTAGTTCTTAACGGCATGTTAAATTATGGGACCAGGCCACATATTTCCATTTGAGTGTGGGTGTGCGTTGGTAAAGAGGCTCATCACAGTCACACCTACACCCGACGTTCTTCTGTCTGTCTGTCTGTAACGCTTGCATATATGCCAAACTTGAAACTTGAATTCAACTGAAAATTTCAATTTTCAAGCTTGACACTACTGAATGCTTGGTACAAATGACCATATTCATAGTAAAAAGTACCACAGTCATGATACAAATGACTATAGTGATAGTACAAAGTACGCTACATGGGCATTTATTCATGCACTAAATACAGGAACATTTATTTGTTACAATTTTACAAACAACTTCTGTACGCTTGGTCGATCTGATATTCGGATTGCCAAATACGTTCAGAAAAACTTCCAGTTTTTTGTATCCAAATGATTTTTAAATTGAAAATTTTTCATCAACTAAACCATATAGATAATTTCGATTACTATTCATCAACAAAAGAACAATTCGGATCCAATAATGATTATTTCAACTTACAAAGACAATTTGTAAACATGTACATAAATCGAACATTCTAACTCACATAATATTTCAGGTCAATATATATGTAATTACGGTGCGAAGCACTGTATAACGATGCTTGGCGAAACTTTTTTTTCTTTCTCGACCTACGCATCCAAGCTCCATATTTTGTGTCGCGATGATCTCGAGAATGGCACATCGCTTGACAGTGATTGAAACGTCATTAGAATCGTTATGGAACCTAAATTATGCTAAAACTAGGTGAATAATGTAAGCGAAATGAGAAAACTCACTGTATGCCATTTTGAAACCGGTACTAAGCATATTGTGCAGTGTCCCTAGTATCTATATTTATTCCCAACAACAACGACAAACCAGCACAGCTGTGAATATTGTTTTTCCTCATGATCGCATATCAGTCGAGCGCTGTGCTAATATTCGTAGCAGATCCAAATTTCACGGAATATACAATCTAACGAATGGTCTCCAAATATTATGCTACCAGTATTTTTGACTTTCCTATTTGTTTTTAGATTGAGTGAAGTTAATGTTTGTATCAAACAAATCCCATTGAATTCTCCGAGAATCTTGAAGGTGTGGGTGTGCGTTAAATACTGATAGTAAGAACGAGTCGACATAGAATACGATGCGGTGGGTATGAATGACTGGAGAGTTATTGACAACAGACTCTCCTCCACACCCACACCCACACCCGCGTGCTCATCACCGTGTGGTTCTCGTTCATTCTTCTTCATTTTCTCGCTTGTTTTCGGGCTTATGTTGTTTTGATCAGTAAAAAAACCGTGTTTATTTGCTTTCATATATGAGAAATATTTGCATTGCATTCTTAAACATTCGACCATTTCACAACTAAGACAATTTACATAGACTAAAACAATATCATTTCATTCGAAAAGGTGAAGAAGAAGATTACTTCCTATTGAATATGGTACATATTTCGTATTGATCGAAAACGGTTATCGCAATAAACAACTTCCACTGTGTAAACTAATGACAAGTATATTTCCACAGGATGGGATACACATAACTCGTGTATACTTAGTATAAATAATTAAAATAAGATGAAATCGAAGTTTTGTTTATTTTTATCCTATACAATTATATATGGTCTTGTTTTAGTGTGTATACGGAATCTGTTCGAAGATTGAATGTATGTTGACTTGAATGCACTAGAATAAAATTATCTTTATTTCAATGATTCGATATTAATTATTAATAGTTTCAAATAATTGAGCTAGAAGCATTCAAAGAAATGCTAGATTAACAAAAAATAGTAGTACCATTCAAAATTTCATATTGATTCTATCTGTTACTCATTCACAAATAAAAAAATAGTATTTGAGTAGCGTTTATAGATAATTTGAAGCTGTCATTTAAGAAATTTATGATAAAAAGCTCAATTCATGCTTATGTAAAAGCGAATTTAAACTAACTTGCGTATTCGCATTTGATTAGAATTATTTTCACTGAATAAAGAAGAGTTGAGATTTTAATATTAATAATCATTGATTTAAAGTCTGAAGGTCTGTCAACATGCTATAAAAAAAGAGGCACTCAAATATTACGATACTTCTATTAGTGTCTATATTCCGCAAGAAAATCTGAGATCATAACCCGATACGATATTAATTCTTTTTCTTTCTTACTATTGGATCCTTTAAATCATCATTTACTTAACTTTCAATGATTACTACTATTGCCGATATCTCTAGATGAACACCATTCACTATTAATCAATTATGATAACAAAAGGAAGGGTGCTCTTAAGAAAGAAAGATATAAATGAACCAATTAGATTAAAGTATTCTCATTGTTAAATGTAATTTAGGGTGTGTGCATGTGGATATTTGTTCAGTCATATCTATTCATCTATCGACAGCCACACTCACATACTCTCAAGAACCATATAAGAAAAAAAAGTTTCCATAGTCCTTCAAAGTAAAAATCTTTGGAGTATAACAAAAATGGTTCATTTCTTTTTAGTAAGTCGATGGATTCTCTCCTCGATCCTAATACGACTTGGGTGATCTGGAGGAAGAAATTTCATGAAAATAGTCATTGGCCGATGATAGTAATCCAGAGCTATTTTTGTCTTGTTTTGCTTTTCATAACAAATTCCAATAATATTCAAAGATTCACCTATATTTACATGATCGGATGAACAATATTTCTCTCTCATTTTCAATGCTCGTTGAAAATAATCAAGAGCTTCATCATAATTTTCTTGATCATAAAAAATAGTGCCAATACTATAGAGGCTTTTTGCGATTTCAACATGACCAGATCGATAATATTCCTCTTGCATTTTCAATGATCGTTGATAGTAGTCGAGAGCATCGTCATAATTTCTTTGATGGTAAAGAATATCACCAATACTGGTTAGGTTTCGAGCAACATACACATGGCCAAACGGATAACTCTCCTCTTGTATTTTCAGTGATCGCTGATAGTAGTCGAGAGCTTCATCGTATTTTACTTGTTTTTCAAGAATAAGACCAATGTTGTTGAGACTTGTAGCAATATCTACATAATCCGATGAATAATGTTTCACCTGTATTTTCAATGCACGCTGGTGGTAATGCAGAGCGGTATCATATCTTTGTTGATGATAGAGAATCTTACCGAGTTTATTGAAACTTTGCGCAATGTCCAACTCATCAGATGAATAGTAGTCCTCTTGAATTTTCAGCAATCGTTTATAATAATCGAGAGCTTCATCGTACTTTTCATGTTCGAATAGAAGACCACCAATATTGTTTAGACTTTGAACAATAGCGATATCACAAGATGGATAATATTTCTCTCTCATTTTTAGTGCTCGTTGATAGTAATCGAGAGCTTCATCATATTTTGCTTGATCGAACAGAATATGACCAATGTTACTAAGGCTATGTGCAATGTCTGCGTGCCCTGACGGGTAATGTTCCTCTTGCATTTCAAGTGCTCGTTGATAATATTTAAGAGCTTCATCGTATCTTCCTTGTCCTCGTAGAATAATACCAATTTTGTTATGATTCGCAGCAATGTTGACATGACCAGATGAAAAACATTTTCCTTCAATGTCCAACGCTCGCTTATAAAAATCAAGAGCCTCATTATACTTTTTTTGTGAAGAAAGGATGTTGCCTATGTGATTGAAACTTGCTGCGATACTGACAGAACCAGGTAGATAACATTTCTCTTTTATATCTAGTGCTTGCTTATAATACCCGAGAGCTTCATCATACTTTCCTTGATTCTCAAGAATAAGACCAATTTTGTCAAGAACACGAGTCGAGTCTTTGACTCGTACCGGTTTATTTGCCACCATTCGATCGTATGCACAATCGAAATGGTCTCTTGCTTCTTTCCATTCACCTTTATAACATAGCACTCTACCAATATTAAATTCAATCCAAGCAAGATTTTCACCATTTGGATCCTTCCGTAGTTGTTCAAAATAGTGTTGCGATTTATCATATTGACCTAAATTACACATTAATCTTCCAAATACAATCGCAACACTTTTTTCTTCTGTTTTCCTTAATGTTAGTTCAATATAATCTTTGGTTATCATTTCCCCTGGATTCGATAATTTCATTCTAATCAATTCAATTGATCCATCCTGTTCAATAGATTCTATTTTAAAACAAGTATTTAAATCAAATAAAACCTCTTTGCCATTTGGATATTCACTAAATTGAGTAATATCAGCAAAATTAACACTATTTCCAATTTTTTTAATATGAACTTCGATTTGAAATAGAACAGAAACTACGTCAGTTCGCTTAACTAACTTTGTTGCAATATCGTGTGTTTGTGGTCGGCGACGACTTGTTGATAAATATCCATTCATTGAAATGAGTTTTCCTTGATTTTCCTTTAGTTTATTGAACTCTTCTATGTCAAGTTTTCCTCCTCGATAAACAGTGAAAAATTCTTCATTGGATAATAAAATTTTCTTATGCTCACGTCGAAGACACTCCGAAAGATCACTAATAAAGTATCGTAATTTATATAATATATATATATATATGTCTTGACTTCTAAATGCTTTATTAATTAATTTTTAAATAAACGATTGTTTGGCATACCAATAAATAGCTTCTTCTGATTCATAGTCACTTTCGAATTGATTGATCAAAGTAAGTTCTTTTGAATTACCATGATAATACTGTCTACACATTTCAATCATTTCTTGTTTTGCTTCTTCAATTCGTGGAAAACGAGCTATAACATGGTTGAAAAGTTGAAACCAAATAAATTCACCCGAGTCTTTTGATAAATCTCTTGTTGATTGTTTATTTTGATCAAAAAAACTAAATGTTTGTAATTGATGATCGAAAAGGTCAATTCGATTTTGAATGGCGTCACATAATTCATCAAGATTAGTATAACTATCAATTATTTTTGAATGTTCATATGATTGTTTTTTCGTACAATAAATAAAAATCGAGTTGACTTGACGAAGACATGAAACATGAGATAAAAGTTCTGATGTTTTTGATCCACATGTAATTAAAAAGATTTTTTCTCTATCTATCAATCTGATGAATTTAACACATTGATCTAGATCGGTGTAAAATTTGATATAATCATTGATCAGACGAAGTCGTTGCGCTGTTTGTTCAATATCTCGACGTGACTCAAAATTTGGATCGAACCAAAGGAGTGTGGTACTTTCTTTATTGTCATTTTCATAACTATTAATATATTTATCAGTACTGGCAGGCAGTTTTGCAACTTTTGAAGTTAATGATTTATTCCCCATGCGACTTTATGATAAAAATTTCTTTTCTTTTGATGAATTTGAATGCGGAGGCAACCAAAGAAGTCTCTTAAAAGAAAAGAAGAGTAAATGGAACATACGAGAATTTTTTTATCATAAAAACAGAACAACGAATTTTTTTTCTTATTCTTCTCAGTTACCATGGAACATTATTCTTTCTTTGGTAGATATAATCGGCTGATGAGTTTTTCTTTCTGTTCTTCCGATGCTTATTGTAATGTATTTCTTTTACAAAAAATTTAATCTCGACTTTAACGTTTCTTTGAGGGTGTTAATGTGATGAAAAAATTAATACAAACACATCCACTCCCAAGATATGCTACCAAAATTTGATTTTCAGTTTAAACTTGATGAATCAATATTAGGTCCTGATGCAACTCAAGCTACATATCTCTTTTCCATTAGGCGGCTATCATCGGAGTAATCAATAACAATTTGACATGCATATACGTTTCCCTATGGAGTCTATCATTTACAGACGTGTGAAAAACGATTTTTGTTTTGAACAATGTGAATAAATTTCACATTTGTTCGTTTATTTTCAAATATGAGTGCGGGTGCAAGTGTGGGGTGTGAATGTCTGTATGTAGTGAAAGAAGATTAATATTCTCACTCATCCATTAGTGTTACAAATTCTATTGGTCTTTATTACTGTGAGAGAATGAAAAAAGTAATCAATAACGAACAAAAATGATTGTATGATTATTCAATTTCGGTAGTCCGGATAAGCAGAATGATCTTGATCATAGTCAAGCTCACGCATAGCAGCGGCAAATTCTAAAGTACCGAATGGTTCTTTATTGAGATCTTTAGCTCTATCCATGCTTAACTTGACAAATCGATTGTCTGGTATGAGTAAATCATCCTTGTTGAAAGCCATAGAGCATGCATGCGATTGCATTTCTGCTGCGGCACATAGCGTGTAGGTATGGTAGTACGCCGCACCAACAGATGGTCCACAAGTAAGCAAGCCATGGTTACGCAAAATCATGACGTCCTTCTCTCCCAAATCACACACAAGCCGTTGTTGTTCATCGGTCGATCTAACAATGCCCTCATAGTCATGATAAGCAATCTCTCCAGTTATATGTGCAGTCTGCGTCAATTCGATCACTCCATTCTTTGTTGCCGAGAGTCCGGCGACAGCTAAGTAATGATTATGAAACACACAGTGAACATCCGAACGAGCTCGATGAACGCAAGAATGGATTATGACGCCAGCTTTGTTCAGTCCCATAATGTCGCCAACTACACCTGGGTGAATCATATTTCCATCATAATCAATTTTCATCAGTGATGATGCAGTAATTTCACAGTAGTTCAGGCCCAAAGGATTGATCAATAAATGACGTTCGCCACTTGAACTAGTCACATTACACGTAATATGATTATAGATAGATTCTAGCCATCCATTTTTTGCAGCTAGTCGATAAGCGGCAGCCAATTCAATTCTTGTTTTCTGTTCATCAATACTGAATTCATGGAGAATAGAACGACTTAGGCGTTCACGTAAGTATTGACGAGAATATTTGTAAGAACCAGGTACGTAGATCTTTGGATTGAATACATTTTGAAGATCTTCCAATGTAGATCGTGATTTTGTGATTACTTTCTTATCTTTATCGTGTGCTCTAGCTTCATTTCCGTTACGGTGGGAATCATCATCAAAAGGAGTAGCTGAGCTATTTGGATTAGTAAGTTCTTCGGAAGGCATTTTAAATAAGATCAACAATCACAATGTTAAAAGCAGGATCGAAAATCTAGTGTTTGTTTGATGATAGTATGCGCGTGTGTGTTGCTTCCAACAGAGAGGAAACGAAACAAAAAAGTCGTTCGCTTGGTGCACTGACAGACAAAGACAAAGAAAAAAGCAACGGCCACACTTTATCTCATTGTGCATTACCTTTACTCATTATTTGTTATCTCATGTAATTTAAAAAATGCTCATCTTTCAATACACTCGTCTTGTTTTCTCTCGTAAAAGATACTTCTAGCCATTATCAAAAAGAATCAAATACCAATTAATAGATATGCTTCTTCGACTTAGAATTCATACTGATAATATTCAAAATGATCTATTTGTAATTTGACCGGTGAATATGTTGAATAGTTCAGACTATTCACAATCATTCTATCAGTTATGAACTCTCACGTATCTAGCCTAATCGATTTCTTTTTCAACGTGCGCATGGGTGTTAATATGAATATCAGTAAGTAGAACACCCACACCCTTAAATTAAAATTGATTCAGTCGATGAAATTAACTAAAATGCAAAAATGTCTTTCTAATTTAAGAAAACAATGTATGGTTGGTCTTTTACTTTCCTTCGTTCATCATTGGTTAATGGTGGAAGTAATATGATATAATGATCTTGATTATATAAGCACAAGGAAGCTTATGTTGATTTAGTCTTACTGTTAATGTCTATTTAAAAAATATATTGTACGAAATTCCCAATGATTTCAAAGTTTCTTTTGTCTATTTAATCTTTTTTTCTTTTCTAGAATCTTGACAGAAACCATAATCACAATTTTTTGTTCAACCTAACTATGGACCTTGCGCGAATAGAAAAAAAACCTATTTCATTAGGATTACTAGCATCATGCACTAAATTTCCTGATATTAATGATAAAACATGCGTACCCATTTTTGCTAAAAATAAGTTCACAGAGAAAAACATCACGTGCAGAAAAACAAATGAAAATTGCACAATTTGATGATTAGTCACATAAATAGTATTATATAATCATAATGTCTACCTTAATCTCTGAATGATAAAATAAAGTAATAAATGAAGAGAACCAAATAGTTCAGATATATACATATATCCCTGGTCTCAACCCTAGTCATTCCTTGAAAAATCCTGGAAAGATCTTTCAGGATCCTGAACATCAAGGATCTTGTCAAGTTTTATTCAGGATCCTGTTTCAAATCCTAGAGATTCCTGTTCGCAGTATTTTCAGGGCAAAATAGGATCCCGTTTAGGATTTCTTCAAGTTCCTGCCAAGAAAATATTTGAAGATACGAATTCAAGATTCGACCAGACTTTGCTCAAGATTGTGAAGGAGGATCCCGCCAAAATCTTATCCAGTTTTTCTGAAAATCTATGTGAAATATTTCTACCAGAATCCTCTCAGGAGTGATAGTCACGTCAAATGAGGATCTTAGCAGAAAATGTACGTGATCATACTGAATACAAAATGACGAATGCAGGAAAACTTCAATCAGGATCTAGCGAAGAAAAGCAAGGATTTAGTAAATATTGTTTCGAAGTTACTATTTAGTCAACTCAGCCGTATTCATTCTCTTGGGAAAGTTCGAAAGGATCTTTTAGGATGATACATTTCAAGAATCAGGTAAAATTTTATTCAGGATTGTATTCAGGAACAGTTCAATTTTGTGGTCGCATTTTTTAAAGTTGTGTTTATATTCAATGTGATTCCTATCCAGAAGCCTAGAAAAATCATAGCGAGGTTTTCATCAAGTTGTCGATACATTGTTTGTCAACAGTGATCATAATATCAGAGAAGGATCATTGCAGAAATAAAACAAGATTACCCAGAGTTCTGAACTAAGAGCTGCTGCTGAACTTTGCTCAGGGTCCTCAGTGGAACTGTTCAAGAACAGCCGTTTCTAATGCTTCAAAAAATTATAATTCCGCATGACCAGAATTTTGACACGACATATACAGGGATCAAGCTAAGATCTTTTCAGGTTTACGCCTAGAGGCTATTCAAAATTTTATTTTCAGAACCCTGTTAGGAACTAAGCAAGAATAAATGAAGCGATTTTCTTACGCTTTCATTTAAATACAGATCAGAATCTGTTGAAGATTTCAAGATTGGTAGAAAAAACATTCGAAATCAGTGTGAAGTAAAATTTCAGCAACAATAAAAGCAAAGATTTTTCACGACCTTGTTTTTGTTTGAAACACGAAAACGCTCTACGAACTGAATAATTTACTAGCATTTTTATCTTCACTTTTGTATGGTTCTTTTCATTAAAAAAATAGAATAGATCTGAATAATCTTGGAATTCTTTTCGTTTCTTTAAAATGTACATAAATATTGTTGTAAGACTCAGACAAAAGCAGTCAATTCTTTTTTTACTTAATTTTATCAAGAAAATTGAAAGTCATTAAATCATGAACTAATTTGAATTGAGCTATCACAAATTTCTTTTCCATTAAATAGATAGTTTTAGTCAATAGAGGATCCATTAATAAAAATGACTTGTCGTTTTAAATTTGCAGCGAATTTTTTTTGAATATTATCGTAATAGAAGCGGAATTTAAAAACAATATTAAATTTCGCCAACAAATATAAATGCGAAAAATAATATCCCACTTTTAAAATTTGCTTTTTTGAGCGAACTGGTCCTGATAAAAAATATAGACGGAAGTTTAAAAAGTTAGAAATTAAGAAATTCTACGTTAAAGCGATATAGAATGACATGGCACATCCAGCTCGGTAAGCTGATCGGTATGTAAACTTAAGGTCTAGAGATTGATGCTCTATGTGTTCATTTATATTCTCTTCTATCTAGAAAATCTTGCAAAGATCCTGTCACGATAATAAATAAGATCCTCGAGAAAACCTAGTAAAATCCTGAAAGATATTATCAAAAATCCTTTTTCTTCAATTTTGAAGTATTGAGATCCTATCAGGATCCTTGAAAATCTTGCTTTAAATCTTGTCAGGATCGTGAGATCTAGTGGTTACACGCTTCTTTCAGGAAAAGGTCATTTCCTCAGGAAAAAAACTGCCAATTCTTGCAGGATCCTTACCAGATCTGGCAAGAATCTTGCCCTGAAATATCAAAGATTTTCGTTAGGGATTTGGTATGAGTATCTTCTCTGCAAACCCACCTCTCACACTCACACCCTGTTCTTTCGACAATGAAGAAGCATTAGGTTAGGATGTACAACTTAATAGTTTAACAACTCCAAATTTGATTGTAAAACAAGTAACACATGTTTATGCAATGGCACAGCAGATAAACCATTTTTTCCGAAAAAAATACATGACAATAAAGCCTAAAGGTAAAATTATCATCAATTTCTTGAATGTTTGAAACTGACCAATATTTTCACTTGGCATATAGAGAATCTCTACGAGTTTACAATGAAAATGAGAACAATGTCTCAGGTGAATGAATCCGATACCGAATCTTATCCGATTCTACAGGAATTCGTCGGCTTTATCAAAATTCACATAAAACGCGATTGGATCCGACTGTCGAAATGATTCTCCTGGGATATTACATAATCAGTTTATATATTTTCCTGTTATTGCACAAACCAAGTGAATATAGTCATTGATACAAATATGAATATGCTCGATAAAAAGCTGAAATAATACTGTTGCTTTGTTTCTGCACATACAACAAACACGTCAGAAGAATTTATACTGGAACTTTATATGAAATATGTTAATAAAAATAAAGTGAAATGTATTTATCGATGATAAATTTTTTCAGATATCATCTATTTTCGTTTTTATATTCAGTATAGAAAATAATAAAGCTTGAGGAAATATTGTTAATAAATGTTTCGAAAGAATTTGTGATGTACAGGAGTGGGTGTAGGTGCGTGGAGAATATTTGTTGGTTCCTTCGATGAGTGACTGATTCCATTGAACATGAGAAAGTGAAAATGGCCTGATTTACTCTCACGAACTACAACATTGAATTGAAAATATTCGTCATGTCTACAAGGTCTAATTTGAAGTATTTGTGTGATAAAACCACACTATTGTTTCACTTATATTTAAAGAAGAAAGGAGGAGCAGTCAGTTTGAGTTTCTTTTCTTTCTTGAAAGATGTATAGGTCTGATATTATCTAACTTCTATATTAGTCAACAAAGATGTGCAAGAAAACTCGTGTTTTATCTTCGTCAAAGACTCCATAATAGTGTGCACATTTTGTCGTCTCTCCTCAGAAATGTTTTTGACGCTCATCTCCCTCAATCGTAATTCTTTTTTCCAGCAATTTTTTCCATTTGCAGCTGTCAAAATTATATAGCTATATGACTTGTTAACAACGCTAAAGACTTGTTTCATCTAGATTGACACCGGCGATCATAAACGAACGAAACAACTTCGATCGGCTTTCTATTTTGACTTGAACAATGTCTTCGGACACGATACAACGAATTTTGCCTATCAACGGAGCATTTCTTCGGCTGATGCAGCCTGATCAATTGGAGAAACTGTATGAATTGCTCGAATTGAATCGAGATTATCTTCGTGAACACATCCCAGGTATTGATTTAATTCGAACTCGAGAAGATCTTCAAAAACGATGGATAACGAAAAAGAAAAATTCCCTGCAATTCGGACTCTGGCTTGACGAACTACTAGTCGGTCGATGTCGATTGACACGAGATGAGAATTCGTCTTCTGCTGATATTGGTTATTGGTTGTCGAAGTATCATCAAGGTCATGGGTTGATGACCGCGTCTGTAAAAGACTTAGTTCAATTCGCTTTCGAAGTCTGGAATGTGCGACGAGTGGAAATTCACTGTGGTGCCAATAATCTCAAATCTCGAGCCATTCCAGAAAGACTTGGATTCATCAACGAAGGGATACTACCGAATGACCCCGGTATTCAAGTCAACGGACAGATGGCTTCATCCGTTATTTATTCTAGATGCAATCCAAATCAACAATAAACCATGAATAGCATGAAGATCAATGGTCTATCATCATCTGAGAAATAGAACCCAGCTGTATGTCATTATCCTTTCGTGCCATTTTCTTCTCAACTATATTATTGAAAAGGGAATACACTCTCGAACAGAACTATTGATAGTTTCGTACTATCATACAGAACTTGAAATGGTTCCGCATGAGCTACGGAACCATAAAAGGGTTCTGCAGAACTCCTTTTTTCTTTCAGAGCAGATCGATACAGACAGGTGATTCCCCCTTCACAGACCGTTACCGACAGCCAATACCCCCGCCACAGACCATTACAGATAAGTGAACGCTGTTTCAAGTTTTAAAAGTAGGAATTTGAATCCCTCCCACAGACATTTTAATTAGCTGATTGCAGTCTAATTAATTAATTAGTCTTCACAGACCATAAGAGGCAGGCTTTAGATCCATGATAAGCGGTATTAGAAATGCAGGAAGGATAGAAAGGTGGAGCGATGGCTATTATGCACCTCGATAGACACCTCTGAACTTGGTTATAGACTATCATGAACCTTGTCGCGATAAAAGCAAGCACAGGATAGCGCTACAATACAGATAAAATCTATGAACTATTTCTGTTTTCCATTTGTAGGTGCTGTATTAAAGTATAATGAAAAAAAGAGTTCACAAATAGATAACACAATACATTTTCTGATAAGAATAAACAATTACGTCGTGTTTCACATTTTAATCCCAAAGGGATTGCGCTAACAGCCTTTTTCGACTTGTTCTAGTGAATTGATGTACTTTTTGTACTTTCAGAAGTAGTTACTTCTGAACACTTTTTGAGCGTACAAAATATTTCCTATTAATTAGCACATGTCTATCATTAAAACTATCGTTTTCTTTTACTTACAAGTACACTCATTACCATAGTCACACTCAAGAAAGATCCTCTTATATTAGTACATATTATATCCCTTGTTCCTACACTGGAAAAAAATAGCACCACACGGAACCAAGAAAGTTTCGAATTTTCTCACTGAACTTTAAAATGGTTTCGCAGGCACTACGAAACTTAAAAAGGGTTTCGAAATTTGAAACGAATTCTGAACCTTTTTTAGGTTTCGTAGGTTTTCCACAAAACCTTCGAAAAAGTTTCCGGGACTCTTGATAATAATTTTGAGACTATCTTGGGCTTTTACGAAACCTTTTTGAGGGTTTAGAATTCGTTTCAAAAATGGTTCCGTATGGTGCTATTTTTTTCCCAGTGTATGCAACTTTTTCAAGTACTTGAAATTGACTTTAACTATAGTATCGAAATTTTTACATACATCATTTTCTACGACTACACACACACACTCTCTCTCATCGTCTACCTGCCCATCTATTCATTTATCTATCGATTGATTTTTCAGTTATTCCACTACGTGGTTGTTCAGCTGACATTCATCCAAATGCTCGTTGGAAACAAAATGGCCTCACTGTAGCTGGAGGAAATGAACAAGGCAATGGAATCAATCAACTCTCGAACCCATCGGGTTTGCATGTTGATGATGATCAAACTGTCTATATCGCTGATCCACCAAATCACCGTATTGTAGAATGGAAATCGGGTGCGACGAGTGGCCAAGTGGTTGCCAGTGGAAATGAAGAAGGAAGTGGGACTCATCAATTGTCTCGTCCGTTAGATGTGATTGTCGACAAAGAGAGAGAGATAGCCTCATCATCTGCGATCGTTTAAATAGAAGAGTGGTTCGATGGCCTCGTCGAAATGGGACAAGTGGAGAAACGATCATCTCGAACATCATTTGTGTGAGTTTGACAATGGACGAGAATGAATCTCTCTATGTCGTTGACAATGAAAAAGATTCAGTGAGACGATATCAAAGAGGAGGCTCTCAAGGAACTGTGGTTGCAATGGTTGTGGAAATCGTCTCGATCAACTCTATAGCCCACAATACGTATTCGTATATCGAGATCATTCAGTGTACGTATCTGATTGGGGAAATCATCGTGTGATGAAATGGATGGAAGGTGCAAAAGAAGGCACTACCGTGGCCGGTGGTCAAGGCAAAGGAAATGGTCTTACACAATTGTCATCTTCTGAAGGAGTCGTTATCGGTCAATTGGACACTGTCTATGTGGCTGACTATTGGAATGCTCGAATCATGTGTTGGCTCAACGGAGCCACACAGGGAAGTGTGATTGTGGGTGGAAACGGTGCAGGCGAACAATCGAACGAACTCAGTGGACCCGAAGGTTTATTATTCGATCGACACGGTAATTTCTATGTCGTCGATTACGGAAATCATCGAGTACAAAAATTCAATATTGGATTCAATGGATAAATAAATACCAAACTCTACTTATAAAAAGAAAAGAAAAGATCATTTTGAAGTCGTTTTTTTTCCAGAAAACAAAAAATTTCTTTTGTATTTTTTTTATTGTTCTAAAATTTGTGATAATAGTACCCAGGTCGACCGTTCCGGTCATCGAATACTGTAGGAACCGGCCGGAAAGATCGGGAAAATCACCGTGTTCCGGAGGAAAATACGGGAAGTCGCTGGAACGTGGAAGCAGTATTCCGGTCGGAAAATTTTCGGAGTTTTTTCAGATGATTTACTGTCGATTCCTGTCGGAAAGTACTGGAAGTTGACCGGAATTCTGCTTCCAACTTCCAGCGATTTCCCGTGTTTTCTGATCGTTTCCCGCCGTACCACCACGACCTGGGCATCGTATTATTCATGTACGAGAAGTTAGCGACATATTAGCGTTTTTCTGGGAATAATTCGTTCCATCAATTGGGCCAAATAGAACTCTATGTGCTCATTTCAATGCTATGTTCAAAAGTTACGTTGGCATGAAAGCAAAAGAAATACTTATAAAAATATGATTTATCATCATGGGACAAAATAGGCAACTTCCGTGTTCCCTAAATTTACTCGACGTTTCACGCATGCTAATTTTGAAACGTATATCAATTGATACAACTCGATAAGTTCTATCTAATACAATGTTCAAACCTACTATTTTAAAAGCTCAGAAGCCTAGAATACTCGAAGCTCTGTAGAATTCGATAATTTTGTGATACTTCATCTGCCGATTCACTTTACAACATATGCCAATGCCAAGACTTAATTTATTCGATTCAAATTGAAGAGTGCTATGGACTGATGTGTCGTTCGGTATACAGAATAGTACTAAAAGAGCAATAGCATTCATAAATTCAGTTATGGCATATCAGTTACAGGCATTATTTTCACTCGTTCGATTCGAACCGCGTACCACTGAAAAAGCCTCTCCCATTTGATTGATGCATAATTTCATATGATAGCTAATAATAAATGAGTTGTGGAACCCGAATTATGCTGATGTTATATGATTGAAACAATTTTTCTTTTCTTTCGACAGTCTTAGTTGTGAAAAAGTCGAATGTTTAAGAACAGACTGCAAATATTTCTCTTAAATGAAATCGAAGAGCCACGCTTTCTTTTACTGATCAAAACAAAGTTTTAGAGATTCAAAGGTGATTTATTTGTTTACGTAAATATCAGTGTATATTGTTTTGATCATAACAACATAAAATCGAAAAACAAACGAAAAGAGAACCACACGATGGCGAGCACATAGATGAAAATATACTGTTTGTCTATTGCAAATGACATGGCTCATTGATTAAAGCAAGTATAAGTAACTGGGGAAAAGCCTAAGCAATATCGTCAACGATTCATAGTCTATTAGCCGTCGCAAACATACCAGAAAAAAAATCGTTCTCTTCAACATCACTTACTATGGAAGTATATTTGATTTCCAACAGTGTCAGACTAATCAAGTTGAAGGTAGCTGAAGTTGAGACACATTAAAAAGATGATCAATTTCTGTACTCTCTGTAGAACTGCTAAATGTCCTATTATTTAAGTCAGATTGTTGATATATTATATAGATAAATCACAGTGAGAAACTTTTAGCCTGGAGCGATATGGGTTTTCCGTAGAAGATTAAGGGTTCTAGGTATATTTAACTGCTGAATTCGTTTCCCTGATATCATCTGTTTGGCAATGTTTAATCATTTCAGTATAGGATTAACAATGACTACGTTGCCTTGATCATTTCTTATTTGATTAATAAGCCTAAGATAAACCTATGAGCAGGACAGAATTCTTTCTAGAAGGCAAATGTACATGTCTCAGCGAAACATCATGGGAAGTGCAATCACTTTTGAAAACACAACAAACGAAATAATTAATATTTCAAATTTGAGATATCCTCCTGGGACATCTGATTGGAGTTTCCCTCGTGTTTTGACTCCAAGAAGCAGTGCTGCGGATTCACTGACCACATTCGCACCATATATTGAAATTGTGTGGTCTTGCCCAAGTTTGGGTATCGCACAACGTCAGACAATACGTAACACAGCTGGCAATTATTGGGTGCTTATACAACACGGCGTGAATGAAGTTGAACTTCGCCAACGATAATTTTATTGAATGATGAACAAAGAACGGGGAGACTGTGGGTGTGTGGGTGTGGCTTCCATTAAATCACACAAAATCCAAACCAGCACTCTCATCCGCATCCTCAACAAACATCAACTTATATTTACCACATACTATAATGGATTAAATTATTTATTGAGTCATAAACGCCAAAATAAAATAAAATACTTGTTCGATAAAATAATACAACACAAAAAAATGGAGAAATATATTATCTGTATGACTAGTAAATATGTTCGATATTTCATGTCGTATTTTCTTGAGCTTGACTTTCTTTTAGATGTAAAGCATTACACTCAAGTTTCTAAAAAAATAAATCAATAAAAACACAAACTCATCTTTTTTTCAAACTTACTGTAAGCGCTTCACGTCGCCGATATTCCATTTTAGCCTTTTCAACTCGAACCCAATATGGAACATTTTCAATACTTGATCGTATTATTTTACAAACTATTATCAGAATATGCTAACAACAAAATAAATTTGTATATTTAAAAATCAAAATCATTCAAATACTAACTTCAATACAAACAAGTAAAAATATTTCCGCAGCAAATGGAAGATCAGGTAACATTCTTCTAAAAACTCCACGTATTGAACAAAAAATGCAATTGACAACAATCGCTGCAATGACCATGTATTCCATAATTTTCTTAAACAAAAAAGAGAAAGAAAACAATTAAATATTTCATTTCATTTATAATTTAACTTTTTCTTTACTTGCCAATGGCCAATATCTTTAACTCGTTGCGAAAAAGGCCGTTGACAAATCATACATAGCTTAAATGCATCCGCACGAATTTCTAATATATTATTTAGTAGAGAAAAGAACGCCGCCAGTGGAAATAATGCTGATAAAAATATAATATAACCAAATTGAATCACTAATTCTAAATAATCTTCATATAAATCTGGCCATTTCGGTTGTAAACATTCGATTTCTGCTTGTGACAATGATAATGTTTCAAAACTCGGTATGGAATCACGCGACGAGAACGAACAGTCAACGGAAGTTTCATCAGTAGTTTTTATTTGTTTCGAATTATTCCATTGATCAAGAATACGTTTAAGTTCTTGATTTAAATCTTTTCGTTCAGCATATCGATCGTGTTCTTTCTTACTCAATTGAATCAACATAGATAGACGAGTATTTGAAACAATATACGGAATAATTGCTTCCTAAAAAGATATAAACACTGTGAGTAAAATCATTCTATGTAATGATAGCGATGATATCCATTAATTTACATACCTTTACATGATCCCAAAATTGTTTGATAACAAAAATTGTAATTAATTGCTAAAATTAATTTTAAAAAATCAGTATGAATAATTATGCTAATTCCTTACGTCTGATAATCGAATATGTGTATGCGTGAAAAACGCAATATAGAACACGCTCAAATACGAATTGACACATGCACACTAAAAATTCAAATGCGAATCAATCATAAAAGAATAAATTTATATTTTACAGCAAACATTTTTGCAATCATTTGGTTATCATGTGTTCGTTGTTCTCGATAGTTTTCTACAAAAAATTAAAAAGAAACTACTAAAGAAATCCTAGCATGAAACGGATCCTAACCTTTATCAGTTAACCAACGACACACACGTTTATAAACATCATCAAATACGGTTGTTACTAGTGCGAGTAAGATCTTCGGTAATAATTGTGTCAATGACATTAACGCTTTGTAAAAACAAATAGAAAATCAGAATGCAAAACTCATCATAACAATAGTCTTACATGGTAAATGACCAAGTTTCAATTGTCGATCAATCCAAGCTTGGAAACGAAAAATAATCAGAATACAAAATGAAACCAATACAAGATTAAATATAAGCATGGGCATTGTGACCAATAGACGAAACAATAAACGTTTCCATGCTGGATAATAAGGTGCATATTTATTTGTCACAGGCGATCGACGCAGTTGACCTTTGTATGTTGCTCGTGTATCTTCTAATTGTTCCATATCCAATGTATTCCATTTATAGGCTAACTCAGCTTGTCTTCGTCGCCAAAAAATAAGAAATCCCGTTGCCCATATTATATTTAACAGAGAATTGATGACAAATAGTTTATCATCAAGTTCCTAAAAATAAAATAATTACATTGACAAGCCTTTTTCTCAACAGCGAATCTACTAACCTGACTTTGCCCACTATAATACCAAATATAAGTTCCATAGAGAGCAGGAAGACAGAGTGCTTGGGTATAGAAACTAAATAAAAATATAATTCCAACAGTCAACCATCGTTATTTTTCATTTTCCATACCTCAACCAGCAAAAATAAAGAGCAATTTTAACTCCAAAATATTGTCGAATATCCTCTAAAAATAATAATACATTCTAATACAAGCAATTGTATATCTAAATTTATTCCTACCTATGGGTTGTGCTTTAAAAATATTCTTTAGCCATACCCATGTTTCTCTTAGGTGATTTAATTGTTCCTTATTATGCAAAGGAATCACTTGGCTAATTAATTTCTTTTCTAAACCACGTTGAACTAAATATTTAAAAAACATGACCACCGCAAAATCCCCAACAATTTTATTTACTTAATGATTGATCGATTTTAAATTTAATTCCATTTAAAGTTTCATTCTCAAGTATTCTTATTGAATAAAGAAGATGAAAAACAATTGATTGACGCTCTTGCGTACTAAAAAATTTATCTTCATCTTCGACACCTAAACGAATCGCACTATAGATCTAAATTGTTCCTCATCTTTTACAATAGTTTACCTTCGTAAATATCTAATTCATGAAACAAGAATCTTTGATAACCTCCACCAAATTCTTGTTTTATCGGCTTTTCTAATTGAAGAGCTTCGGCGCCCTTCAAAACTCTAAACGAAAAAAAGTAAAAATAACTTCATACCACATGAATCCTCACCGTTCATAAGTAAAAGTTAAATAAAACCCATAAACGCCTAATAGAAACAAAAATAATAAAATACTTAGCGTCAAGAACGAGTGAAAAATTCACCAGTCGTAAAATGATGTTTAATCGAAACACGAATATCTGGTTGAAGTTGGATAAATTTTTCAAGAAACCAAACGATCACACGATCATCAATAAGCTCTGGAAATGTTAGCAGTACATCACATTTATAATTTGTATCCGCATTCAGCCATAAACGATTTGAAATTGCTGATGACAGATTAGCAAATCGTTTACGAAATACGGATTTAACTAAAAAATTAGAAATAAACAAATGAAAACCACATGCAAATCAAACAACCGCTATCTACCGTTAGTTAACTGTTCAGACATAAGTTTTTTCGCGTTTTTCTTTCATTCTTTTTTTATATCTAAATAAAATGATAAATTCATAAGATGATTTGTTTTTTACAATGCAAATCTTTACGGAGAGATACAGGGAAAAAATGGGATAAAGGATGAGTATTATTAAGCTCAGTGTACATTTTAATACAAGAACGGTTAAAAGAAAAAAAACGTTTATTTTGTGCGCCATGAGTATTCAATGTTGATTTTCCGGATCATTATTCTTGAGAACATCAACAAAATCGAAGATCAATTGTTGTAGTTCATCAGCTTTCAATTCACTTATACGAATGACATCTTCATGTACAGCTTCATACGTTGTGTTATAATCCGATAGACATTTATTAGTTATTAATGCAATGCCAAGTGTACGAAAACCACAATGAGCAGCTAATGTTACTTCATGAACAGTTGACATACCTAAATGAGAAAAACATTCCATGACAGACATTTCTTCCTTCTTCTCATTTCAGACTTTGAAAAAACTTACCGACAGCATCACCACCCAGTAATCTGAGCATGTTTATTTCAGCAATAGTTTCATAGCATGGACCGCCTTAAAGAAAAATCAATAAAAAATCTAAGGTATCAAACGTACCTACCTAATCCGCAATAAACCCCTTCGCGTAATTGAAGATTATATTTACCAGCAATTTCCTTCATTTTCATTATGTACTGTCGATCATATGCATGACCGACAGGTGGAAAGCGTGGCCCTTAAAAATGAATATTTTACAATAGGATTTATTCAATATTATCCTACCAAATCTAGAATAGAATAATTGTGAAAGTTATACTAGAAGAAAAGACTTCATTTTTATATTTACCTCTCATCATTGTGGCCAATAAGTGGGTTATTACCGGCAAAACTAGGCAAATTCAAATGATCTTTAATTAGCATAATATCACCAACAGAATAGTCTTTGTTAAGACCACCAGCAGCGCTAGAAGTAACAGTTGATCAACAAATGAAAACTGAAGATAAAAACAAACCATGTAACCACAAGTGAACGTGCGCCGAGCATATGCATGACTCGTACTGGAAAAGCACACTAAGAACATTGCAAAGACAATAACAATCTCTTATGTATTCGATGGGCAAAATGGTTTTTAATAAAACACGCTTGTAGTGACCTTTTCAGGAACTTTCTCATGTGATCTATTTCAATTCATTAAATCAATGTTCGCTAGAATCTAATTATTTATATTAAAAAAAAACAAAAAAAATCGAAAACTACTATAAATCTATTTTTAAAATTTCTAATGATTATGAAACGGAGAAAAATAATTATTTACCATTGCTGTAGTATATCCTTCATAGGAATGAAAACGTCCTTGCATACAGACAGCATAGAGACCATTGAGTGTACCAAAGACGAGATTACTTCGATGGCCAACAACTACATAGAATGAAAACTAATTTTTTAAAACAACAAATTTTCTATTCAACCTGTTGATTTCGGAAAATGTGGAATTTCGGAATACGGTATAACAATCTTATCAACAATTAAATCAGCTAAACCACCAAGACCTGAACCACATATAATGGCTACTTCTGGCTTTGTTGGCACTAACCGTTGAATGAAAGCAACAATATCCTGAACACATTCATACGTATAAAAACTAAGTTTAAAGAAAAACGGATTTAAAAAAACAGTAATTTTTTAATTTTAGCAAACCGATTGGTCACTGCATTTGGATGTTCACCAACAACTGCCCACGGGCCACTTTCTGCAATAGGCGTTGATTCAATCGATGTATTTGTATTATGCGACATTTAACGAATCTAAATTTCAAGAATGAAAAACAAAAAATTTCTAGCTGACATACGAACCCTCGACAGTAATATTTGTGAAGAAAAAACAACAGATGGTAATGATCAGAAAAGGATCAAGCGCTAGATGTTAGGATTATAACTTGGTTGCCTGTTTTGTTCTCTCTTTTCTTTCATACGCTATTTTTCTGTCTCTCATTATTATTCACATTCCATAGGTTCGAAATCGATGTAAGTGAAAAGGCAAAGACACTCTTCATTTATCGTACGTGCACTTCCTTCACTTTCATCTCATCAAAATGTTAAAGCCAATTAAAATGGCATGCGTATATGTGACTAAGTAGACATAGAAAATATGCTTCTGAATTAAAATCTAAAATTATTCAAGTTTATTTCTTTGCAAAAAAAATAAAATATATATGTTAAGACAACAAATAAAATTAATTACAAAATTACATTCTTCTATTCATCTATACCGATATGTTTCTGAATGACATCAATTAAATCTTGTTTTCTGGTGCCTGATGCTTTTAAATTTTTTTCTTTACAATATTCTTTGAGTATTGGCACAGTTAATTTGGTTAACTAAAATAGAAATCGGCAAAATGAAACATTTTATTTCTTCGTATTTTCATACTGAATTATTGCGTGCTGCAGCCTCAACGTCGACATCGCCGTCAGCCTTAGTCTTTTTTGCACTCGTTGATGTAGCACCGGTGTCAGTCTAGAGATCAAATATAGTCACATGATTAATATTTTAATAACGATATTTGATCAATTTTGTCGTTCTTCGAGTATAGTCTCGATGCTAAAAATATACTTCGAGCGAAAATCAATAGTACTCGATACGATAAAATATTTAAAACCGATACGATCGAAAAACACGTCGTGATTTTTCACATAGTCTATGACAAATACAAAAAATAAATTAGGGTTAAGATAAATTTACACAACCTTTGAAACGCTTGTGATAAATCAGCAGACATTTACTTTTCACTATTACGAAGTTACGATTGTCCAAATCTTATACTATGCTAGAGATATCGAGTAATAATATGCGCGCTACATTAATTCATTGTAACATATTTTTAAGGAAACACTGGCATGATTTGTTTAAACTATTCTATAAATCAATATTGAAAATGATGCTTCAAATTATGAAACTGATGAATCATAGAAATTACGCACTATGGATATTTTATTCAAAGATTTCTTTTACTTAAGATTAAACTAAAAGGATAAAAGTATTTACAGGAGATTTGATAGGTTGAGTCATAAATGTCTCTCAAATAAAAAATGGGTCAAGATGCTAAGTTGATTTTGTTTTTGGATAAGAACTAAAAACAAATTCTTTATGGATGATTTCACCTCGAATGCCAAATGAAACGCTCGATTGTTTTAGTCAGAAAAAGGATACTTGCATTGATGTTTCACTTCCTGCTATTTTTCATCAAGAAAAAATCAGTTGAATGTCTCCGATTGAAAATCGAAATCTCGACTATTTTACCTTTCGTTTCGCTGCTGTTCTTTTTGTAACGCCCATGACGTAATCAGGTGGGAAAATCGTTTGTTTTATTTCATCGACATATTCCGCTACTTTTTTATTTTGATTTTCAATGTTCGGAATGGTTAAATCAGTAAATTCTTCTGGCTGATCTTTATTTAAAGCTGTTGCTTCAATATTTCTCCATAGTGTTTGTAAAGCGGGATTCTCGAATCTTTCAGGACGATATTTAAATTTTAAATTACGAATTACATTTTTAAATAAATCAACTTTATCATCGGGCAGACGTGGGGAATCATTCTTGGGCAAGGTTCGCATATCATCAGCATAGGGTAAATAATAGACATGAAAACCATTCGATGCTAGACGATCATTCGGATCTTTTTTGTTTATTTCCTCAGCTTGTGGAATGAGTGCAACTAAAAGACAGGTATTTTTTTATTATTATCAGAGAGAAAATATTTTATTACCGAGACGCGGGGGTGTATTTCGTCTTGCAGTAAATTGACATAGAATAAACATGTTTTTTTCTAAACATCTTTTTAATAGAGCATTAAATAGACATGAACTTCCTTCGATATATTTCTCATCGGGATAAATAAAATGACCGGGTTTAACATAATGATGAGGTAATAAACACGAAAGATTTTTAAAACCGAGGATTTGAAAGCCGGGATCAGTAAATTTCTTTATTGCTTTTATTTCATCAGCATCAAAAAGAACACGACGATTAGACACATCGACACCATATTGAATATCGGATGGCATGAGAATTTCAGCTGAATAAAATTTTAAAAAAAATGTTGATGATGTTCTAACAACAAACCTGTTTCAGGAAGATAATGTTTTGTGACAAGTTTAGTTTCCATATTGGTTTTCATGTCTAATTTAATTTTAGTTGGCTTAGGGCAAGGACGAACCTAAATATGAATTAAGTTAAAATTATTTCTTACGCGACAAGAATCGCTCAATGCATTTACCATATTAAAAACTGATACAGAAAGTTGTAATGGTGTTCCATCTGTAGATTTCCCTAATGATAATGGCACAGTACAATAAGCACGTTTTTTATGTTCTTTTGAATAAACAAGTTTTAGTAATTCATCTAATCTTCCCGTTGGTGTTTGATTATTTCTTACTTCAAGTTCATCATCACATAGCATTAAGACATCTTGAAAGAATTTTTTATAATCAAATTTTATTTTTGTTTCGGTTAAAATCGGAAAAACTTCAACTTGAATTCCAACATCGTTTAAATCTTTGGCGCGTTGTTTAGCTTGTCGTTCTAATGTTAAATTTGTTGCATGCGGTTGATCATTACACGTAAATATAAATACTCGCTTGATTGTTAAACGTTGTGGTGAATTTGCAAATAGATTCGAACATGTCCATAGTGCTTCATTTAATGAATAACCTTTCGATGGTGTCGAACCGAATAAATCATTAAATGATTTTTTATAGGTATCTTTATTAGATAGATTTTCTAATTGAATAATACGATCAGCTGATGGTTGCGCTAATTCGTGAAGAATATAAATATGATTAAAATCAAATGTATTTTTATTTTTTTCTGTTCCATAAAGAATAATACCACTAAGATCTTTATCATTCGATATAATTTTTGATTGATAAAAACTTTGACAAGCACGCATTACTAATTGAAAACCGGTTTTTAATTCACTTTCGTCATCATTGTCATCAATCGACGCATTTGATTTCATTGTCTTCGACAAGGATTCAAACATTTCTTGAGCACATTCAATTAACATTAATGTGCCATCACGAGATGTTAAAATCTAAATATTTTTCTTTCTATTATTTTTTTACTAGCGAATTTTTCAATCAATATTACTTGTCGTCCTTGATAATTATCGTCTAAAGCTTCCTCATCGTTACTATCAAGACCGCCCCAATTTTGATCGAGTAGAGACATTGAAAGTACAATAAGTTGTTCAATAAAATTATGTTTTGAATTTAAATAAGTCTCAAAATACGGAATGGCATCGAGTATGCGCAATAACATGACACAAGCATCTGATTGGTCGACTAATTGCCCAAGTAACAGATATTTTGCGGTTTTGACGTCAAAATGACATCTAGCGAGAACAGAACTTCGGTTGATTTAGTCATGCATGTGGGCACGAGTTAAGGGGAACTAACGAGTTAAGAGAAAATGTGGACGCCATCATGGAGGCACATGCAATTTATTAATGTGAAAAATCTAATTGGTTATTTTGTATTGCTAATAGAAATTATCTAATCGAAGAATGATTCATAGGAGACTTGTCGAATTTGAAAAGAATTTGATTGAAAACGATAGTTTTTTA